AAGAGTTAGAACTGATGCAGTAACAGAAACAGCTGTAGAAGGCCCAGATGAGAAAGAAGCTGAAGACATGATAGGAGAAGGAAGTGAAGTCACTGCAGCTGGCAGAGGTAGTAGGGCTGATGTGCTGTTTGGTGTAGCAAAAGGAGTTGAGAAAGCTAGGGGGGGTGGGGGAAAGAAAAAACTAGTTTTAGAAATTTAACATTTTAGAAATGCCGAGCATTAATCCCAGAAATTCAGTTACATATAATTGTTCAGATATTTTACAAATAAGTCTTGACCTGCTCTGGTATTTTGCCCTTCAAGGTAAATTTTATTTCTGCTTGAGTTCGTATACAACACCAATTGTGCTCAGTTTTCGGTGATAGTTTCATGTAAGCTGCATCTCTTTCTTGCATGACCTTATTTGTCATAAGCTTAAAAAGACAAGTCAACATTTGACAGCTGCAGTCTGCCTCAGAAACTTCTAGCTAGTACTGTTCTTTCTGAGCGACTGCTTAATCAACAGGAATAATGATGATGCAGGAAGCATCCATCTTTAAGAATAAAATATACATTCATAATAGCTCAGAGGGCAGAAGTCACTTCAGAGGTATGGTTTTATGAGATGGGCTGAGCACCATGCAGACTTCTCTTCCCTGGCACACAGCTTCCTCATCCCTCTGCTTTCTGTTTAAGTCTGGCCCTCAGCTGATCCTTGGATAAGTCAATTTTGCTCACTAAACCAAGTTTAGCCAGAAAATCAGGTCAGAAAAACAGAAATGCCATTTTTGACAGCAGTAAGCTGTTAGATCAGCTCAAGCATCTCACTGGCCTCAGTCTAAACATCAGTGACTGTCAAACAATATGGCAAGTTGCACTAATGCAGTAGTCTCCAAACTTTATCATGCACACCCATCAGTAAAAAATTTGAGCATACACCCCCACCACGTATGTAAATTTACCTGTTTATAAATTATTTACATATACAACTATATTAGCATATTATGTTTCATAAAACATATACAATAAAAATGAGAAACCACACAAAATAGAAATTTTAAAAGGATGAGACAAAGGTGAATGAAAAAACAGAAAAATCATTTTTTGTTAACAGTAAAGAACTTTTATGCTTACACTAAAAATAATTTTATTAATATACTATTAATAACATTATAGTATGCAAAAATGGTTAAGATACTTATCATTATTAAAAATAATTTTTTCAAGCATGCAATATGATTGAAGAAGCCTCATTATTTTTAAAATTTTGGATTAACATTTCATGATACAGTAATTTCAAGGTCTGGTTCTCTGTCCAGATTACTTCAATATTAGCCTTTAGTGGCTGTAACAGCTAGAAAAGATACCTTACAAAGATTCAAATGGAATGACTGCATTGCTGGTTGTGCTTTACTAAATCATGCTATTTGTTTTCCACTCCCACCCACCAACTATGCAAAGGTTTTTCTTGAAACTCAGCTAGCAAATTTCCACCTTCCTTGATGTCCCTCAACTGTTCTTGCAAACTAATCAGACAATCTTGCACTTGGGTATTCTTAACAAATGGCTTCAAAACCCACTGAAAATCTTTGTTTGGAAGGGGTTTTTTTGGTGTTGTTTTGTTGTTGTTGTTTTTGTTTGTTTTACACAGGTCAGGAAATTCTCCTTGCAGGTTTGTGTATAGATCTGACAGTTTTGATATGCCATCCTTGCATTATTTTTGGCAAGAGGATTGCATAATGAGGAAAACATTTCCATATACCAGTTTTCAAAATACTCTCTCCTGCAGTACACTGCTGACAGCCACTTGCCATCACAGCAAACATCAGCAAACCTGGTAGACTTGTCTTTTTGTGAAAGAAAAATGTTCATGTCATGTTTAAGTCCAACAACTCTTTTAAACACCTCTACCACATGAAAGCTAACAAATCTCTGTGTCATACAAAAAAAATTGCCATGGTCATTCCCTGTCTCATTACAAAGTACTGCTGAAAAAATCTACTACTTAAAGATCATTTTAATAAAATTAACCACATTGATTACGTCCTGTAGCACTTTGCACACTTCCAGCTTCAGTTTCTTTGCTGCAATAGCTTGCGTATGAATGAGGCAGTGAATAAATTTCATGTGTGCTGAAATCCCTGTAACTTTATTTCAGAATCCATTTTTATAACCTAGGCAAAGCAATCGGTCCATCACTGGTTACACTTACACAGTTTTAACAAAAACAGCTTTTATTAAAGAAGTCATTCACTTTTGAGGATATATCTTCACCACATCCCTTCCATTAACATTTAACAATAAAGTAGCTCTTTCTGTGTTTTATTATTGAAACAGAATTTGGCTAAAACCATAAGCTGCAACATTTTAGAAACATCTGTATTTTCAGGCAATTGTATAGCAAACCTCTCACACTGTATAATTTGTTCTAATATTTGTTTCTTCTAATCTTCAGCAGTCTTTTATATGTGCCTTCCGATAGTATTGGCCAACAAATGCATTTCAGTTTGTGACCATATTGTCTTCCACGTATTATTTCAGATATTTTTGCCATGTCAGGAAGGGCAAGTGCTTCCCCAATATACCTACCTTCTAAAGATGCATCATTAAGTTGACTAAAATTTTTTAAGTACTAGATTGAGTACTGTATGGCTTGAAACATTATGAAAGAAATTGTAGAGGTTTTTTTTCATGTTATGCTTAGTTAGGTATCTTGCTAATCATGATGGTTTTGAACTATCATTAGTTAATATCTCAAGGTACAATATACACTTAGAGCAAGATTCATCATTAACAACGGCAGAAGTAAATTTGTATTTCAAATAGTCCTCTTGAAAATTTTGAATTTTTTTGGCTTTTTGTCAGATCTGATTAGACTGTTTGCTATATTACCAGATAAAAACAATGGCAAAAAGCTCATACTAGGAGTCAGAGAAGTGTTGCCTCTTCTATTTTCTTGTTTGCTTGTGCTTGCGTTATTACTGGTAATTTAAATCCATGGTCCCTTTGCAGGACTTGACTTTAAGTCACTTGGCCATAATGTAAGGATTAGTATAGTTAAAGCCAGGTAACAATCCATAAATCCACTTGAGCAGGCACACAAACTGCAAGGTGTTATAATACACTGAATGTGGGCAAACTAGCAAGGTTGTCACTGTCAACCCATTTGTATTGTGGAACATCCACTCTTCTCTCAGGAGATGTGGAGATCTGAAGTATGGATCCCTTGAGTGAGGACACCAGTGACAAGCACTACATTAAATAATAGCGAAGCTTAAGTTCTTTCTTATTTCTTAGATAAAAATAAGTATTAATTCTCCCCATATCCCACTGGATTGCTTTGCATAACTCCTAGAGTAAAGGCACCCCAGTTTGGAGTTCACTGCACTAACACAACTCAAGAATACCAGATGTGTCAAAAAATTAAGTATTTGGTATTCAGAATATCGTGTTCAGATTCTTGAAAAATCAGATTAAAGGGCTTTGATTTTCATCCACAATATTAAAAACCAAGTGATTATCCAGGTTTATCACCATCCCCTACAAGACAGTAAATTTGTTTTAACTTCCTTCCGTGCTGCTCATCTAACTCTGCACTGCAGTGGAAGGCATTATTTCCTTGGCCTCACATCCTTGAAAAACACAAGTGCATCCACATGACTTCATTAAAAAGTTTCAAGAATAAAAAAATGCTTAAAATACTCTGCGTGTCAGATGCACATCAGATAAGGAGCACACTTCCATGATTAAGACAGTTTAAATTCTTCCAATTAGTCTGGAGAAGAGCACTGTAATTATGCTGATTGCAATGCTTTTGGATGAACTGCTGTGCTTCAACAGACATGAATAAATGTGACCGAGTTGCTTAGAAAGTTTCTGTACCTAATGCTGCAGCGCTAGGAGAAACCGTTGATGTCCCTGGTGAGGGAGAGCCAGGTGGAGTTGTCTCTTTTTCACTGTTTATCATTTTTCTTCAGCTACAAAGACCTGTGGGAAAACAAAAGCCTATATTGAGAAACAAGTGAAAAGATTTTAAATTGGAATGTACAACACAGTGATTTACATTCCTGAACAGAGCAGGTAATTTGAATGTTAACTCTAGAAAAAAGACAAAAAACTGACTGATCTTAAGTACAGTTATCTAGTATGTCTCAATTTTCCTGTATCTTCCCTTTATTTTTAGGACTGTGACAATAACCCAAACTCCAAGCCTCTTTCTAAAAATCTTAGTGCGCATGCTGAGTCACTGCTTCCAATATATACTGGTGGTACTTAGATGAGTAATAATATAGAAGTAATTACACACTGCAAAACCCATATCCCATTGCAAGAAAAACTTAACAATGGGTAGTATTTTGCAGCATTTTTGAGCTGTAGTAACTTGAACAGGGACCTGTTATTTACAGAGCTGACACATGACAGGATGCAAAATAAGGCAACAGGCAAGACAGAGGACCAAAGTCTCCCCCCTTTTGCAACAAAGAACCACAACTACCTCTCAGGCTTAAGCACTTCAGCACATGCTCCTGAGCATCACAACTGATCATAAGCACCTTGATGAACACCATGCCTAGCTGGCAATGGCCCAGGAGTTCTGACTCTGTGACCTAAGCTCTGATCATGACCTTGTCTATGTTAAAGCAGAGGCATTTTGGGGGTCAGCCAAATAAACCTCCAGAATAGCCAAATGAAACTTCTGAAATTCAAGCTGAAATTCAAGTCCAACATGAATAAAATTACACTGAAATTAATTTACACTCAACAAGTTTTCCAATACAGTTAATTCCTGTAAAATCCAAATAGCATACTGCTTTGGCAACACTGTCAGAACTGAAAGTAATTGAAGAATTAGACTTTTATTATAAAGGATAGGTTATGTTGGAAGTCATCTTTGAGTAAACCTTTGAAATATACTACTTCTGGAAAACTAAAGCCATGAGCTGATTTTAAAATCTTAAATTAATGTAAAAGGGTTTAGGAGAAGAAAAGGAGAGAGGAAAAAATTAAGACTTTCAGGAACATCTGGAGATTTTGGTTTTCCAGTGCAGAGGCAGCTAAGAAAAAAAACACTGCCTCCTCGCAAGTCTGGCAAACTAGACAGCAATGATTTGTACCACTCCCAAGGTAACAATTCTTAAGGAAATTTTAATGGAAAAAATATCCTATATAAAGTAAT